GAGCCGCGCGATCCGAAACGGCATCGCCTTGTCGTGAAACGGCCGCCCTTAAGCTGCAACCACCGGGGCTAATGTGGCAGACACCTCCCGCAGCGAAATTAAGGCAAATCGTGTGCGGGCCCTCGCCGCCATACGACACTGTTCCACCGGGAAAATCGATATGCAAATCTACGCGCAAATCCTAGTAATCTCGCTCAGCCGTCCTGCAGCCCTTGCAACGGCTCAACGGGTGGATGGCGTATACCCGTCGACACCCCTCGCCCTCCCCCTCTTTCTTCGCGCCTCTTATCCACCCAATTTCTTTCTCTCCGCTTCTTCCTCTCTCTCGTCTTCTCGGCTCGCATAGTTTCTCTCTATCATTCTGTCTGCGATGCTCATTTCAGCAGCGGGAACACGTTCTTTCCCTCTCGGCGTGCTCCCGTTGCGCGGCAAGACTGCGACAGGGGGTTGACGGGGGTAAATGGGTGAGGGGTTATAAAACGGGGTTAGCCCGGGTCTGAAGGATCGTGCTCGTCGGCCACCTTCGACGACAGGGCTTTATCGAGGTGAAAAAGGTTGCTCGACATCGACCTCCCGCCGCCATGAAGTGAGCAACCATCCCGCAAGCCCGTCTAGCACCATCCTCCTTTGCTTTTTCCCTCCTGCGCCCCGTCATCGAGTCGTTTTCGCGGATGTCTTCGCGTAGGTTTTTTTTCCACGCAGCCTAGATGGGGGAAAACGATCCGACTGCTCTCACGCGAGACGGCGAATTATTATCGCGCGCGGTTTACTATCGTACTTCTTATACGTGAGCCTCGTAATTTTCAGCCGGATATTGATGCCAATAAAATTTTTTATGTCGCTCGGCTCCAATGGATGACGCTAACGTCGAACAAACATGTCGTTTGGCGCCGTTTCCGATGTAACTACGATGTAATATCACTGGTCCCGTCGTCCCCCGTCCCATTAATAAGCGTTTAATTCATCAGGCTGTATTTCTTCCTTTATTTAATCGAAGCAGAATTTTGCGGAATTGTAATTTTCAAGCAAATTAATTAACAAACTTGACAGATACGTTTCAAATTTATTTATTTATTTATTTTAGATCGAAATTTATTTTTAAACCGTGGTAAAACCTTTTTCTGATGTTTGTCAACATATCTAGATGGGTTTAATTTCGGAGTACTTAATTACTAAAATATATATTTATTTCGTGCTAAAATTGATCGCGAAATAAAAAACTTTTGGCTAAAGCCGTATTCCGTCTGGACGACTTGCGTTTTGTTTTCCGCACTGCTTTATTTATGTGAGACGGGAGAAAAGAAAATGTACGTCTCGGGTAGCTTGTGTTTGTGGGAGGTCAGCGCGAAAGGAAGGAAGACAATCAATCTTGATCCCAATTATCGCGTCGCTCAGCGACTGTAATTGAGTCGGTCTCGAGCCTCCGGCCGCCTCCATCCACGGCGTTTCTTTTGTAATGCCGGAAGACTGAAACAATGAAGGCACAGAAGTTTCCCCGTTGCGCTCGTACGAGTCGACTGGAAGCATTTTTTGGCTTTACCACACCTGCTCGTTTCGCGCCGATGAGTTATCAAGAAACGAACCGCTGAAGATTATTTACTGCCTCCGTATCGATTGCATTTTTTCGCCGTTTAACCTTCTCAACTTCATATTCTTCCCATTATACAACAAGAAAAATTGTGTCCGCAGCTGCATTGGAATTACATGATACACTTATGACACAAGTTGTATAACATTCTAAAGTATGAACGAATATTACTGCGATATCAAGCTTTAGAATAACACAAAAGGCATATTTTGTACAATTGCTGTAACATAACTCAACTTAAATATTCTTGCAGAACATATGCGATAAAGAAATTGATATTTCGCTGATAAGAATGAGTTTGTGCATGTGTACAAAACAGCTTCAAGAAGGCCACTCGGAAATAAAAATATATTTCTACACAAACCTCGAATTGAAAAAGTAACACCACATGATATGGGGGGAGCATAGCTAAGCTGTGTTTGTCTCAGATTGTATAAGATTAGTCTTGGAACGAGCAGGCTTTTGTTACTACGTGACTCAGAAGTTATTGCGTCGTCTTAGGACGTAATAAGATTAATACCTTCTCCGGATCGGCAACGTGAAAATAAAGCTTTCTTTGTGTGCCGCCTTATGTTAGAGTTGTTAGACTATTCATCTAAGCGGATAAGCATGAAATCGAATATTCATTATTATCTTAGGTTTATATTGCGTAGATATCAGGTTCGTACTCGTTTATATTTTCAGAACCAACGGAATGCCTTCTCCAATATCCTCTACGCGCTGTAAACTTTTAAGCAGCGCAGTACTAATGTTCTAAATCGCATTGTATATTTGAGATCTCACATTGTTATTTGTATAGCAGTTGTCTAAGACCTCCATCTGAGACATCAACGCTCATTATGGGTTATTCATTCTGCAATTAGTATATTTTCTTGGTGATTGTATACATTGTTAGATAATATATTATCTGTCCACTCTTCAAGCGCTTATAAAAAGAACAAGTTAGCTTGATAAATGTTGCAATTTTTATCGAGATTATATATTTTGTAATCTGTTTAAATTTATGTTTAATTGCACGTATTAAAATATAAAGTAAGAACGATATGACTATGTTTAGATATCAGTGTGCGTAATTTAATATTGTAACTAAAAGTAAATATTTATGTTTAAAATTTAACGAACGGTTTTTGCTCGGAACTTGCATCTCGATAGTAAATTTTATACGCAACATCTTTCTCAAAATGACTGTGATTTAATTTTAATATAAAGGTTATTAATGAGAAACGTAATTATTACATTTGTTAATCCTGATTTTTAAAGGGAATGTTTATTTGGAATGACGGAGATTTGTTAGCACTGAAATTAAATTTATTTAAGGATGAAACAATTCAGCTATTAAAAGATTTGTGAGGTATTACATCGTTATGTATAAAATTTATGAGGCTATCCGTTTCCAGAGATTCTCGAAATATCATTAAAGTTTCATTAAAATTAGAGGGAAGCGTTTTGCAGAGCTCCCCAGAGAATGCTGTTTCTTATCAGTAAACCCTTTAAATCAACTTTAATATTTCGCTCACTATGTTGGCACCATTTAGAATATACCGCTCAAGCATATTTGCGTGCATTATTATGATTTATTGACATATTTGGTAAATAAAGTATTGTGTGATGATTATTATTTTTTATATCAGAATATTAAATACACTAAGAAGCTATGTTTTCTGAGCTCTTTTCAAAATGCTAAGTTTTTTAAAATGTTGAGTATCAATTGTTTGCTCCGAACATTCTATTTATCCTTGATATTCTTTTCTTCTGTTTTTTTTATCTCTCGATTACATTTTTAACGTATCTTCAGTGTCAACTTTGTAAAAAAAATAAAGACTTTTATCTAGCTAGTTGAAAGGATTATTTTAGCTAATTAATTGTATTAAAAATAAAAGCGCGATAGATACGTCGAAAACGACTATTCGTGAAAAGAAGCAAATGTTATCAATGTCAAAGCCTTCGATGCAGATGTCAATATACGTTGTATACGCCATGTAGCTTGTGCAGGAGCAAACGCTCGAATCTTGTCTCGTGCAATTAGTCGAGCTTAAACCGCCCCATGTCAACGAGAGGTCGGCTCCTGGGGAGCGCGACGACGCGGAGAACAGCGGCGGTGACGATGGCGAAGACGATGAAGAGGGCGGAGCATTTCCTCTCAATGGGTCGAAACTTTCTCGTGGCGGGTACCTACACATTATTCCTCGAAACTCTCGAATGTGCTTAATTAGGCGATATTTGAGCGTTCGTCCCGCCGACGCTACCACCAACACGAGCCACCGCTTCCCCCTTGGCCGCCCAACTGTCGCAGCCCCTCTGTCTCTGACGGAGTTTACGCTCGCAAGCCGCTATTACCGAAAGCCACTGGATTTCCGTAAGAAAGCACAGGCGGCTGGCGGTGGCTACCACCCGGTCCTATATAGACGTCTTACCTGAACTAATATTGTTAAGGTCTAATTAGTACCACCGCGACACCAGGCGCGACCTCTCTCCGTCCCGCCCACCCTTCCTTCCTTCATTTCCCGCGGGCTTCCGTTTCTCTGCCACGAGTCTCTCTTTCCGAGACCCGGCTCGGCACTCTCGACGGTGCTCCTTCCACTTTCCCGCCTTCGTGCCACTTCCGTATTCCAGCCTTGCACCCTCAACTTACCTCATAAACCGCGTTACAGTTCGTCCCAACACCCAAATTATGAGAAGGAGAGACCGGGTGAGAAAGAGGGAAAGAGAGAGAGAGAGAGGGGGGGGGAGGTAAAGTAAGCGAGAATCCGATATGAAGAGTGGACGATAGGTGACTCTTTCAGATATTAGTCACACATTATGAACCATTTATACGTCACTGCGTGTCTCTCGTGGCCAAAGTATAGATGAAAACTTGTATTATGCATAACTTTGTTGAAGATATCGTTGTATCAGTCATACGTGCTGGTATAAGAGTTATGAATCATGTGGCGTCGCGAAATTAGTATTTGCATTATTATAATGTAGTATCATTGATACGAATATCAGATATCTCATCGATCATTATGTCCGCGACGACACTGAATACCGGGGATTATATTTTGCAACCCCTCGTCCAATTTCATTATTAATACATTTATGGTCGATATCCAGCTTTCAATATTAATTGTTGGAGCAACACGGGAATAATTTTGTATCGTTCGATGGAAGCAAACTAGGAGGAAATTTCAGAATAATATGATGTTTAAAATTACTCGATGATTTGATTTATGAATCAATATCGATTAAGAAAGTAATAATTGCACATTTCACTTTACCCGATTGCTGGAAATTAATTTTGGATTTCACGATAGACATTACGATATTCTTATCAGAAATTCACGAATCAGCATAGTTATTAAAATTACTTATTGCAGTAGCGCCATAGTTTCGTGCACAGCAACTTTAAACACGTTCTGCATTTTTGTTTCAGGGCCGGTGTAACCGAGACAAGCCACCTTGCAAGTATTTCCATCCCCCACAGCATCTGAAGGACCAACTCTTGATAAACGGGCGCAACCACTTGGCGCTGAAAAACGCGCTGATGCAGCAGATTCAGCAGGGCCTCACGCCGGGTCAGCCTCTTGTGCCCGGGCAGGTACCCACAGTGGTATGTCCAACAAATTAACACGATCGTTGCACCATTTCTTCTGCTATCCACACATTCACATATTTTTTTTACCACGACCGTAATATCTGGATTTTGTCTGTGTTTAGCCAAGGGTTATCACTAGATTATCTTTTTTGGTAGGCAACGCTGCGTAGATTATCGACGGCGTGGTGTTTAAGCTTTCCTTTCATACTACTGTCGTACCAAGACATTTGGAGCTAGGCGCCATTAACGTAGTAGCTATGTTTACGTACGCAATCTCGTATATTATCTTAAATTACAATTTACAAGCTTTTTCTCGGTAAGACTCGAGTGATATATTTGCAGCACTTCGCCGTCCATATTTACCTGCGTGCCTTCTTGCGGATATTGCACCGAGAGGCAAAGTTTTTGAGAATTAAAGTTTAGCACGTCGCATGTTCTTGGTCAGTGTCATCCTTACTTCCTAGAGTAAAACCTGACTTATCCACATTTATTTCGATAGACAGTCAATTTGCGGAATCGAATCTCTCTGACACGATGAGTGATTCTTAATCTCATTATTTTGTATTACGGCCTCTTTGAAATTATGATGACACTCGTGATCTTTTTACTTTCATTATCATTCTAGAGTTACGAACTTTCATTATTTTTCGATTGTAAGTATCTGTATTCGAGATATTTAAATTACTTTTGATTCAAGAACTCTCATAAATGATCTTCACAATCAAATAATTTTTTAAGGGCATGGAACGCAAGTCAAGAGTCCTTGGTATGGACATGTTAGATTCTCATCGCGAACATTTCTCGTACTGTTCGTATTTATCATTCAACGGGGGAGGCTCGTTAATTACGGGAAAAGCACACAGTGTTGACGCGCCGAACTTCCGAACGATAGAGTGGCGTTTGGACGCGGGAAAGTTTCGTCGACTCGTCAAAATTTCACGCGACATCGCGTGTATCGTTGACACGACGCTCCGGTATAATTTCGATCCGGATAAATCTTCGACGACCGAAGAAACTTGTTCGTGGTTTTTTTTCTTCCGAATCCCCCTGTTTCTCAAGCGAACCGCACGCGAGTGCGTACACGCGCGGGTTGCCGTTATTTTGTTTTAATTAAAAGAGCAGTAAACTCTCTCGTTATTAACGTTTGCCCTCCTTGTTCTTTTTTTTTTACTCATGACATACATTTATACTCGTTGCTACGTGACATCGAACCCTATACTATGACTGCCTGTCTGTCCCCTATGTTTGCCGCTGTGGCTCACGTGGTTGTGGTTGATTGTTGGTGTGTTCTCCAATTACGTCATTGGTGAACAGGAGGCACCAGCACCTCCGGCACCACACCATCACCTTCAACAGCAAATCCAGCAGCAACTTCTCGCTACTCACGCCTTTATGGTAACTCCTGGTTTTGGTTGGCTTCCACTAATTTTTAGTTTAATTTAATTGCCACGCTGGCTAATAGTGGATGTAAAGATGCTCGTCACTTATCAATTTGTTAATGGAAAAGTCGATAGTGTGTATTTATTTTCAGTTTGCGATATTTTCATGCGAAATGAATTACTTTCATCAGTTTACGTCCACTGTAGTCATTCAAGCGATGCGCCTGTAATTAGTAAGCGTTCGTACGAAAGCTTAAATTTTTATTTTAAGAGCGCGCCGCATAGTAAGTCAATAACTTATTTGCATGCTTTACAAGATATTTTGTTTGTTTATCGAGGAAAGAAAATTTGTTTGTATATGTTTTCGTAAAGTTTTCCCGTAGAAGAGAGGAGCATGAAATATTGCAGCTAAATAAAATTTGCGCGTTCTTTGGCTCTAAAAACGACGAATGTTTCTTCTTTCTCTTGAAAACATTTTATATTTTATCCTTACAATGGTAAATGTTTAAATATAAAAATTCTAACATTCTTTAAATACAATCAGAATGGAACTTACGAGAGTCAAAGGAAAAGGAAGCGAGGCATGGTAATCTCGAAATTGGAAATATTATTGATCTTATAATATTTCAATTCAATATTAGTAATGAAATATTTGTTTCCCGTAATATTCCGGAAACAAAACGATTATGCTGATGTCTAATTGTAAATATTACTTAGCTAATATTTTCCAACAATTACCTGGTCGTGCTTCCGAAAGCTTTTTTACAACGACGAAAGCTCCCAGGGTACCAGAGGCTTTTGAGAAGAAGGAACGAGCATTTTGCTCGTTCGGATGCGCTTGAAATTACCTGCCTTCGCTTCTGGGAGCCAGCTCTCGCTGCAAAACCAAACGCTTCGTGTGGGAACGTACGCTTGTCGTTAAAAGTGAAGGGGAGGGCACGAGAAAAGAGAAAAAGGACGATTAAGGCTTTGCGAGATCCGTAAACGAGATGGTATTTCTTTGCAGATTCTTAAGTTTACCACGTCGAGTTAATCCTTTTATGTGTTATTAGAGAACTTTTCTAAAAGTTACTTCTCCAAAAATTTCTTTCAATGAATTCCATCATTTGTCGGGTTTTGATGTCGAAGTAATAATTGGATATATTTGACTAATATAATTAATCATTCTGCACAAAGTTTATGTGTACTTTACTTTGAGAGGATCTTTATTTCACACGTTATTTAAATAATATTTTAAAACCTCTTTTTAATTTCTGATTCTGACAATTTTATTTGGTGAAGTTGTTCAAGATAAATCGGGACAAAATATGTGATTTTTACATCTTACCTTTTTATCGTGTTTCATCTATGAGCTAGTTTACACCGATCGTTTGGTACGCGTACCAAATACTATATCGGTATCAAATCGCTTGATTCGCTCGATGTAAACGCTCGCGGATTACTTTAGTGCGCTCTGGTCTGATACTCCTGAATCGCTAGTATCAGACCAAGTTGGTGCGCGTATCAAAATATCTTAGGGCGCTGTAAACACTTGATTCGATTTGGGTCGTATTATACCCGGCATTCCTGCTAGATTGAGGTTAGAAGTATGGTTCAGTTTAGCATATTGTGGTAGAAGTTTGATTTTACGTTATCCAGATTAAAAATCTAACCTAACCTGTTTTGAAACGAAATGGTGTAAACAGGGATGTATCAAATGTTTAGTCCGTACCAACTTGATGTGCGCACCAACCGATTTAACGGTGTAAACTAGACCTATGATTAGTCCGATTTGAATTTGATTGCTATTATTACATATATTGATATCAACTTTTTGTGTGTTACTTGTCCTAGTTTTCCAGAATTTTGCAGAGAAATATCAAGCAGCTGAAGATCGCTGCGTGTTAGTTTCTCCTCGGTTATGTATTAATATATAATTTTCCTTCATTACACGTTGTTATTAGACCAGATATTAACGGTGTTGCTTATTTATCCGAAATTGAAGCGAGCATGACGATGGCTCGTAAACCAAGCGATGTATATTGCGCGTCTTAAGGTTGATAAACACCAGAGAGCGTTGCTCGCAAAGCTTTAATGCACCTTGAAACAGAATTTGCTCGGACATTCAGAAATGGTAGATTGCATATACAGAGTATTTTGTAATTGGTGGTACAAACTGGAAAACATTAATTTCTTGTTGGAGAAGTTAAACTGCCCGACTTAAAAAACGAGTTGGTAAGAGACTTCTTTTTCTGAAAACAGTTACGCATTCTTAAATTATTTACAATCAAAACTTGCTATACGGTCAATCGTAATTATTGCCGAAAGTGTGGAACAGATATTCATCTTGTGAAGGTAAAGCAAATCCCGATTTTATTCTTCTTAAATGTAGCTATTTGTTGATTAGATATAATTTTCTCGGACTTGTCCAATGTAATATTTTGTAATATCTATAAAATTTTTTCAAGAATTTATTAGGAATTTAAGCCAATAATGCGACGTACATTTGAAATAAGTATTTCTATCTTTGAATTATATCGATCTTTATTGTAAATAATAAAAAAATATGGCGTTTTCACACGGAGGGCCAATTTTTAACGAAATCGACTCGCTTTATAAGAAGAAATCGTGTGTGTGTTTTCCACTTTTGTCCGCCATTAATATTAATACTCCGTACACGAATACTCGGGTAATAAGCACGCGTTTCTGTGATTTCGAAATGGCGCGCGCGTCGCGACGTGCACAATCGGGAACGCGTGGAGCGAAGGCGGGGGCCAGGTGTGTTCTAATCCGTGTTACCTGGATATCCTCCGGGTGTGTTTCCGCAGGCGACGAATCCGTACCTGACCGGTATGCCGCAGGTCGCCGGCAATACGTACAGCCCGTACTTCGCGCCCAGCCCACTAATGCCGGCGATAATGGGCCCGGCGGACCCAACGGGCGTCGGCAGTCCGCTCGGCGTGGTGCCGCAGACGGTGGCGATGCCGCAGAAGCTGCCGCGTACCGACCGCCTCGAGGTATGTCTACCACCAAACTACATTCAACAACAACAACAACAACAACAGCAACAACAACAACAACAGCATGGGGCCCAACACGGCGCAGCCGGGGCCTCAAGGTGCCCGATGGCCGCGCCCAGTACCGTGTACCAAGTGCCGGCCGGTCCCCCCAATCAGGTGTCGCCCGTATCCACGATGCAATCTGTCAATCACCCACCATCCCCCACCACCATTACAACGACGTCCCTGTGCACCCCCCTGCACAATCCCCATGCCCATCATCATCCCATTCACAACCTCATTTACGTTCACGCGTATTACTAGAGAGGCTCCGACGTGTAGACCTTTAGACTCGACTCGACATCGGGGCGTCGATGACGTTCGAATGTCATCGACGAGATAGATCGACGCCGCGTCATTTCTTTTTGTCCCTTCATCCCCCCCCCCCTCCGCCCCCCCCAATCCGCCTTTTCTCTTTGGGTTTTTCTTCCCCTCTCTATTTTTTCTCACGTAAGCGTAACACGCCGGGGTGGATTAATCAGCCGAGGCGTAACGGAACGCCCGTGGTGATTAGAGCGTAACGATGACAACGGATGAAATTGCAGCGGGCACCGAGAATATCCTGATTTCGCAGACGGGCTATATAGACGCGCGTTGCTAATTACAGTAATTTACGCCATGCGGATCCATAAGGCGATCTGATTACGCGAGCCGGATGGCTTACGTTCGTCGCGCGACGCAGCGACCGATAGTGACGATACCGATGGATCCTGGGCTGGAAATCGAACATTCGTTCTGAGAACACGTGGCAAATACAATAACCGGAGAGACTTTGAGAGTATCTAGTTAGGATTACAAAGCGCTATATATTTCTATACGCTCACCCGATTGACGTCACGTGTTCGAAATCGCGAGAAGGGACAAGTATTTAACGGTAGAGACGGTAGCCTCGAGATTAGTAACTGTAGTCGGTGATTAGCGAACGGTACGATTCCGCGATTCACATCGATCCAAAATCCATACCGCGACTGATGGCGACTAATCCCGTGTAGTCGATATTTTGGCGAATAATTTGCAATAGATAAGTATAGAAATCGTACGGTGAATTCTATGAAAGAACGGAGCAGGCTTGAAAGCGACGAACAGCGAGAAAGGAGAAATCGAGTTGCGAGAACGACAAAGATGTGCATATATTTTGTAGTGCGAAACGGTGGCTGGAGATGAAACGGTACAGTGACGAGCAGTAATATATCGGTGTCTAGTAAGATGTGGCGACAAAGCAAATCTAATTTAAGATACCGCACAATAGAGATACGATAGATTCCTACGGATCGTGAGCGACACAAAGGTCTAAAAGTATCGAGAGTAAATTCCTAAGTCAGGTAACTATAATGGCAACGATGAGAAACGTGATGAATAATTACGAATGATTAACTTATATAGACCAGAATACATGGCTGATTGATAGAAGTAGACGGATTTGCAAATGTGCAACGGACGAAACTGCGCAAGATTTAAGCGATCGTTGTTTTTTTTAACTTGTCTCGATTTCTACGACTTTATGTTGATAAATCATCATGTTTTTATGTTGTGAAATCTTTGACTCAAATATATTTACTAAAGAAACATTTGTAATAGTTGGACAAGCTACACTCTTATTGTTGACGTATTTGTTACATTTCAAAAATAATTACAAATGTTTATTAATATTATTTATAGACATGTCAAATTTTATGAAAAATTCCGTTACACGTTAGTGTTCCTTTGCAGGCCATTTTCGCTTTATATATATTTTATGTATATTGACTACCAGTTACGTTACGTTATATTAATAACATGCGACGATCATCGGCATTTCGAATATGCCTATTGCACGAAAAAAGTTATTTTTGCCGCGGTCCATTATCGTTGGCTTTCTCGGTATCGGTTCACGCCGATGTTACGAGCACAATTTATGTATCTTGCAACGCAATGATTTCGCAGATTGTTTCTTGCGATCGCATCGAAGTCCCGTCACTTCTATCAAGCACGCCTGATTCTTGAATTAATTATTTCCTCTAGGTATACACGTTAAAAAGATATTTAGGAATAAATGTAGGTTGGCGTAGTGTAATGTTAATATCGTACTTCCGTAAGTACTTCGGGAAGAACGTACGAAGCTTTCCGGAATTAGACTGCGATCTTCGCAAAGCGCACTCGGTAGAGATCGGTGATGCGATCGTGCAATATCGCCTCGGCCTTCGGTATCGCGGGCCTCCAGCTGGAGGGCGCGAGAAAACGTTTCAGAAACAATAACAAGATCGCCCCGTGAAACTTCGCGTCCGCATGCACCTGGAGTTTTCTAATGCGCGAGTTCGCAGATTTCCCCGGAGCCGTCATCGCCTCTTTTCCCGTTTCGCCCGGCGGCACTCGCGAAATTAACAAGTTTCGCGAGTCAGTTTTCACGGGGCAGCTCTCTTGTGCGAGCGCTCTTCAAGACCGGGGAACGAACAAAATCGAGATAGCAGCGCTATATCGGCGCGCAAACTCGCGCCGATTCATTTGCGGGGTGCTTCTTGGCGAATTCAACTCGCAAATAATGAACTACTTGCCGTAGAAGGCCGGATTTAATCCACTCGTTCCCAACGTGGTCATGCAACGGCATATCGGGAATATTTGAATTAATGGATAAAGCAAATTTATATTTTACATTCCGATAAACGTTGAATGTTTTTTGAGGAGGTGGTAGCTCCGTGACGATTCGATAATCTTGATACCCAAGTTATAACCAAATAGCAACGAATTAAAAACTTATAAAGTACTTTCAAAAATTTGCATAAAATATATTATCAAAAATTATTGAGCGCTACGTATGAGGAAGGAAATATTTAAACGTCTTTCTCAATATTTAGAGATAATTGGAAAGCGAGAAAGTCACAAACATTAGAACGGCTGAATTCCAAGTCCGTCTAGAACATCAGTTTTGCCGGGGACTGTTCAAATATTACTTTCAATTTGTTTCAATAAAAAACGAGAAATTTTGTGACGCGGTATTAAATTAACACGTCGGATTCTAGTGATGAAATGAGAAATGATTATAAAAAGAATACAATATGGATAATCGTGACTTAAAAGCGTAATAGATTTAGCCATTCTATTGTTAACACCCGTATAATCAAAGGCAACGAAGGGTGCCAATTACGACGCGTTGAAATTAAAAACAAAAAGTTGGCATTTGTTTAGAGAAGAGAATGCGGGAAAGGAAAATCGAGGGTACCTAGCGTATCGCAGTGTCGATTAAATTCGGTTTGACTTTATTATTTACGTGTTTATATGTCGTGTTTGTGTATGTGATTATTATTCCGATAATAATTATCATCACGACTATTGGTATTACGTTAGTCGGGAGAATTAACGAACGGAGGATCTCGCGGGAGATCCCTTGCGAGCCATTTGCACTTGAGCAAAATGTGACTTTTTGCAACGCAGAGCGCTTCGTAGCGTTCGGGGATCTAAATACAATATATGTACGTATGCAGAATCATATACAGATACATGACGCTTACACGCGCCGGTCCATCCATGCATACGCGCATAGTGATATATGTGTACATAGTAGGTAGGTTAACAAATTAATTAATTAATTAATTGTATTTTGTATCGCGCAGAAAACCGGTAGAGCAGAAAACCGAAGGGAAGCGTAACTCGCTACCCTCATTTGAATTCACCGCAACAGATTCGATCGCGATTCTTTTGTATTGCATTTGGAAAAGATTTTATGTTATATGATACGAGATATAGTGCTCCTCTTTTTCTAAACGTATATCGATTATAGGCGATCGATATTGCGAGCTCTTAAACTAGGGGCAAACTAATTTTGCGTTCGCATCGGAATTTCCAGCCTGGGCGAAATACAAAGTATTATTTCGGCGCAAATTAGCAATACGAATCTCGAGATTCTCTTTTTATCAGTTTTATAATTATATGTATCGTACCCTTACACCATTCTAACCCCCACCCCCCTGCCCCCACCTTCCTCGTCTTTCATCTATCAACCACCATAGTGAGAACGATAGCACTCCTCTCTATCCCCCATCCGAGATTAATATATGATCGATTTCACGTATTTACGATTAAGTAAAGGGAACGTTTACGAAAAAGAGTAAGAATATACACAATGTAATGTCGTTTAATTAAAATATTGCAGATAGAAGTCGGAAATATACGATCGATTTATTAACTAATTACGATTGGTCTTACGGTAACACTTATTATAATATTTGGTAACATACAATAACGATGATAATTAGTAATCATAACAATACCTATTTGTGATGTACTACGATGACTTGTGCACTGAGTTCGGGTCACGTGAAATTTATTGATGATGAATTCAAATAAAAGAAATATAATTGAAACTGGAAACGATGCACAGACTGTTTATTGATTCTTACAAGTTCACTTAATGACCAGAAAAGTTTGTGTGCTTTGTATGTCTTACCTTAGTCTTCTTGTATTTTCTTTAGTCGTTATTATTTTTTTTTTTTCCGTTGCCTTTGCTCTTTTGGTTGAACGAATTTGCGCGAAGTATGCCCAGAACTGTATATTACTCTTTTCCTTTTCTGTTTGAGAATACAAACTTTCTTTTGTAGTGCACTCCGCTTGCAAATGAGAAATAGTTTCTTGCGTATTCAGGAACAGGACACTCGATCGAAACTGTGCTAATAATCGGCTATCAGTCAAGTAATCTGCGTATAAACGCCTCTCGCGAGACTATTCCGTTATGTCCGTTGTTAACTCCTGTCCATCTATCGACGATGATACATTCAAGTTCGCCCATTTCTTTCCGAGATTCATCCCGTCTGGACATCTCAACGCCCCCCTCACTTCCTTGGCCCTTGCACCTGCGAGAAAAAAAGATCGCAAGATCTATATCTTCCCCGGACGATATGTTATTAATGCTCTTTGAATTAATTGCTTGCTGCCTGTTTATATATAATGTTATTAATATCGATATAAACACGTTTGGATTTTCGCTG